TGACAGAGGCGCTTCTTCCCAGCTTGATTTGCAGCTTATCTCCATCCATGCTCACGCTGCTCTTGAGCGCTCGCAGCAGCAGGTTTAGATCCAGCGTGAAAGCAATGCGGTCTTCGTTCTGGCTGGAAATCCGATAGTCATCGAACAGCAGTGCCTAGAGCATACATGTATCAGACAGAGGAAGGAAAAACCGAAAGAGAGTGAGAAAAAGAATGCCCACCTCCTTGAACTGCGCAATCGCCTGGACGCCATCGGCATTGACGGCATTGTGCATAAGCGTGACGTGCGTCCTGGTGAGATAGACGTAGCACGTCTTCCCAATCTTCTCAAACGCCGGCACGAATTCTGGCAAAGAACCGGCGAGGAGGATCCATCAAGAAGATCGAGCTATCTATCGATCGAATCGATGGAACCGGCTTACTCTTCTCCAGCGTCGTGACGCCCTTGTCCGTGAAGAATGCCTTGAATTTCATCGTTAGGGTTTTAGGGCAAAGCCCAACCAGAGGTTTAGTTAATGTTAATAATACAGAGTAACAGATACATTTATCCCTAGAATATGCTCAAACAGTGTTTATTTAATCTGACGTAATTTGATTAATTTTAAATCACGAATAGCGACTTATAGCGACCTTTTAACTCGAGCGTCCAATAGAATCACATGATTCTAACGTGTGAGTGGAAGTTTTGTCTCGTCATTGAGGACCACACTCGTGGTAGCGTACAGCGTTAGTAGTCCACGGCTCCAAGTCGGGAGTATATATCTTTTGTTCTTGCTCCAAGCTCCCCAGAGTCGATCATCAATAGTGAAGCGTGTAGTGCTTGCTTACCATGGCTACTATAGCTTCTACTTGCCAGCTCCTGTTTTCGCACAAAACCACAGTCAGTCGAAGCTTTGAGAGGAGAATTGCAAGTAGGACTCACCAGAGATGCCTCGTCACAGCGAAGGTTGCCAAGCAAAAGAGCTCCAGCGTTGCCACCGCACCTGCTTCTCTAGAGATCGCTCCGGATGTTGCGACGCAGCGCGGTGTTTCATCGCCGGTCCTTCTTGAATGCGTCCTGGTCGTGTACAAGAAGAACGTGCTAGATCTCGTTGACGTCCTCGCGGATTTCCGGGACGACGCCGCCGATTTTCTGCTCGGCAAGAAGGTGACGGTTCAGCTCGTGAGCGAAGAACTGCTTCCTGGTAAGCACGAGAGCGGTTTAGATGCTGAACTTAGCTTCTTACCTGTCCTTGGTTCTCTACAGGCACCCAGGAACCGAAGATGAGCGACGTGGTGCCGATAAGTCACTGGTATTGTGCTCGAGACAGAATCGAAGCGAGCGGATGTATCACATACAAAGTCCAGATAGTTGTAGATAAGAGCTTCGGGAATGTTGGGGCTGTTCGTATTGGCAATGCTCACCCGAATGAATTCTTTCTCAGCACCTTCCACATTGTGCAGCCAGATGGAACTTCAGCTTACTTCACCAGTGATTCATGGCTGCACCCGACCGCGGAGAACTGCCCCCGAATTTTCTTCAGAAACAAGGTAAGGCATCTGCACATATATATTTTTTTTTCGTTAAAGCTGAGGAAAGAAAAACCTGATGTGATAAGGTGTGCCTACCTGGCAACACTCCCTTGGGCCTGAGAAACTTTCGTGCACGAGAACTCCAAGATATTCAAGGCGACGGAACAGGCGAGCGAAAGGATAGCGACCGGGTTTACGACTACGATGTGTACAACGACCTCGGGAACCCTGACAACGACATTGAGCTGCGGAGACCCGTTCTTGGAGGAGGCGAGTTTGCTTATCCTCGCAGAGTTAGAACCGGTCGCCCGCCTACACAAACAGGTGAGTCACGAGTTCATACAAAGAGCAATTTTACTTACCGATATCTAAGCTAAACAGATCCACGGTCGGAGAGTTTGCCTCCCGGAATCGATAACATGTATGTCCCGTCGGACGAAACGTTCATGAGAGAGAAAAACTCCAACTTCGTAGGGGACACGATCAAGGCCGCTGCACATTATCTGGTTCCAGCTATCAAATCGGCATACAGGAGGGACAAGAGCCCTTACTTTCAGAGCTTCGAACAGATTATAGCGCTGTATGACGACGGTATTGAGCTGGGACAAGACGTCAGTAGTACAAATGCAAATGAAAAGAAGAAACTTCGGAATCCCTTCACCTTGATCAACCAGCTGACAGATACCGATAAAACCAACAACAGCCTTCTCAAGTACCCGTTGCCGCAAATTATCCAAGGTAGGATATGGAGGTGTTCCGGGGTTTTGCCTCTCATCGTCACTTCTTTTTGCAGATGATTGTGAATCCTGGATGCTGGATTATGAGTTCGGAAGGCAGACTATTGCGGGTCTGAATCCCATGATAATAAAAAAGCTCGAGTCCTATCCTCCTGTAAGCAGTCTGGATCCCAAGATTTTCGGGCCAAAAGCCACTGCACTGAAAGACGAACACATACTGGATCAGCTCAACGGCCTCACTGTTCAAGAAGTAAGAAAGTGTTTTTCTAAGAACCAAGCTTCACCGCTGGTGTTTGTCAGGCTTTGGAGGCGAATAAGCTCTTCATCCTGGATTACCACGATGCATTCCTGCCATACTTGAACAGGATTAATGCGCAGGAGGGAAAGAAAACGTACGCAACACGGACTATATTGTTTCTTACAGACAGAGGTGTCTTGAAGCCTATAGCCATCGAGTTGAGCCTCCCAGCAGCAACAGCGACCGGCCAGAGAAAGAACAGGGTATTTGTCTGCTCCGACACACCAAAGAGGGACTGGGCTTGGGAAGTTGCCAAAGGACACGTTGCCGTGAATGACTGTGGATACCATCAACTCATTAGTCACTGGTAAGAGAATGATACAAAAAAATATATGGCAATGCTTACCTGATCGCGCTCATCCAGGCTGAGAACGCATGCCGTCATGGAACCGTTTATAATTGCTATGCACAGGCAGCTGAGCATTCTTCATCCAATCTACCTCCTGCTGATTCCGCACTTCAAAGACACAATGACCATCAATTCCAAAGCTCGCCAATCGCTGATCAATGCATCAGGAATCATCGAAGCCAACTTCACACCGGGAAAATACTCCATAGAAATAAGTGCTGTCGTCTATGGATCGCAGTGGAGATTCGACCAGCAGGGACTTCCAGCTGACTTGATCGCCAGGTAAGGGGATTTCTGGCTTGAAACTATCCAAACGAAAAACAAGCATTGATTTTTTTCCAGGGGAATGGCTACTCCAAATCCGAAAGCCAGACACGGCCTAGACCTCCTCATTGAAGACTATCCTTACGCAGTGGATGGACTGAACCTCTGGAGTGCATTGAAGCAATGGGTGACGGACTACACAGACATTTTCTACAAGGACGATGCTTCAGTCAGGGATGACACTGAGCTCCAGGCATGGTGGCAAGAAATCGTGAATGTTGGTCATGCAGACAAGAAAGTTGGATGGACAGACCTGAACACAAAAGCAAACTTGATCGAGGCACTCACCACCATGATTTGGATCCCATCGTGCCACCACGCTGCTGTTAACTTTGGCCAGTATGCATACGCTGGATTCCCAGTGAACAGGCCGACCATCGCTCACAAGCTCATTCCTGACGAAGACACCGAAGAATATAAACAGCTGCGAAGAGGGGAGAAATTCTACCTCTCGTCCTTCTCCACCAAAGTCGAAGCGACGCAGGTGATGACAACCATCGAGATCCTCTCCACTCATTCATCCGACGAAGAGTACCTGGGCACGCGGCCGGAGCACTGGACGAGCGACAAACGGGTGCTGGACGCATTCGAGCGATTCAAAGCCGCCATAGCCGAGACGGAGGCCGAAGTGATGGCAAAGAACGCAGATCCAGAGCTGAAGAACCGCCGCGGCCTTGTTAATCTGCCCTACACACTCCTTGCTGTGAGCTCGTCCCCGGGCATCACTGGCCGAGGCGTCCCCAACAGCATCTCCATCTAGAACACTCTCGTACTTAGATATTTTATTATTTAATGATTATTATTCATTTAGATTAATTTTGTGTTTATAATTTATAAAGATGTTTATAATTTATAAACTTTCTTAAACCCTTTCTAGTGTATTCTTTTTTATTCTAAGATTAATCTTGTCTTTATAAATTACAAACATGCTTTTAATTATAAACTTTATTTGATCAATTGGATTCATAAGTAAATATAACATTACTTTTAAACAAATCAAGCATTACAATTTATTTTGTAATGGACACACGATTCATTCTTGCGCCAAGAACTCAGCTGATCCGCTGCAATACAGCCTTGAATTCCTGATCTTCCTCTTCTCCGTAGTATGATCTTGATCCCGTCTGATTTGCTCACCGCTGTGGCACGAGCTTGTCCTCGTATCCTTCTACACTTAAAATTCATGTAAAAACTCCAGATCAAGAGAATGAAAAGAAGCAAAACTTTCCTCGACTTATCTTCTACGATAAGAAAATGTCCATTATCTCTAACTCTTCTCACGTCCTGAAAAAAATCACTACAAGCATCAATCATATCGAATCGATCAATCACTTACGAAATGCGCAAGTGACGAGGAATCCAGCACGGGGATGATCCACCACAGCAGTGTAAGGAAAATATTAAAGTTTTCCTTCTCTAGTCATCACGACCACACATCGCTACAAGGGATCTACTGGATCATCGCTTGTGCTCGCTTTTGCTGCAACAGGGATGAAAGTAGAGGATGGAGAACACGAGAAATCGAGACCAGGCTTGTTTTTAGCTTCCTCCGCTTCTTCAATTTGAGAGAAAATCCCGCTGCCGACGCTTCAGGTGAAGAGGAGTGAGATCGAGAAAAAAACTGCACAGATCATCTCAATGTCTTTCACCGACGATCCAAAACTTTCTGTGTAGCTTAGATCCAGCTTGCGCTGCTGCTTCTCCGATCGCGTAAGCTTCGTGCTTTTCTCCCTGCCCCAGAGACCGAGCTCTTGTGTAGATCTGAAGAGCATTGATGTGGAATGTGATGGGTCTCTTGCTGCGTTTGTCAACTATGTCATGTCACCGATGTGGACTCAGTTGTGAACTGGCATTTGTTTCTCTCTTCTGGCGTTCGTTTCTTCTTCTAGCTCCAAGAATTCTCTTGCTGCAGGAGGAGGATGGAAGTTGATATGCCGCCGCAAGTTTCCAATAAGCCGAGCGTTCTCCCGGAGCTGGAAAATGTTATGCTACCTCATTGTTCTCATCTACTTAAACAGTATAAGCAGGCACGACTTCCACACGCGACTTTTCTTTTTTGTTCCAACCAGCAGGATTTCTAATCTGGTTCCATAGGCGAAATCTTGCGCAGATGAATGAGATTGCAACAGCTAAACTGGCGGAGCAGTGGCAAGGCCGTGAGATGAGAATGCCGTGAATCCGTGTGGGAGTTTCGTGGCAGCGGGGCTCTTTGGGTGGTGCCAAAGCCGGGACACGCGACGACGCGGGGCAGATCGGGGGTTTGTGGATCGCTGCGGCACCTGGATGAATGGAGGTTCTAGTGGTCAGTTCTTAGGAGGATAGCTAGACGCTTCTGCTGTGCCATTCTAATTTCGCGCATTTTATGAAACATTTACACTTGGCTTTCTAGGTACTAAGCTACCTAGAGGTGTCTTTGGGAACCTTTAAAGGAACTCCTTATCCCTTAGCTTGCTAAGGCTTTTTCTTTCGCAAATTTTTAAATTGTTATATGGTCTAACATGGACAATTCCATGTTTTAGACTCTCTATGGCATCACAATTGCTAATAACAATATGTTTGAGCACCTATTTGATTCTCCACTCTTAACTGGCATAATCACTTTTGGTTATGCAATTTGATTCCTATGGTTTAGTTCTATCCTCTTATTACTTATTTTTTGCCTCATACCTTTCCTTTGGTTATGTATCCATTTGCCGATATCGAATTGCCGGCAGTTGCCTTCCATCTGATCGACCAAAGGGTTTATCCAGACCGACCCATCAGCAACCAAGCTCTTGTGAATATGAAGGCTATCAGGAAAGTTCGCCTGACCTATATGTTCTATCTGCCACCTTGGGACAGGCGAGAGTTTGGTTTGCTCCTCGCTGCGTGGGACTTGGCGGCGAACGAGATGATGGATAATGACCAGAAGGATTTAAGGTTGAAGGTTAAGACTGCCGATTTAGTGTTCACCTGGTACAGTGGCATCCCACGGGTTGTTTGGGATGGAGAGTGGCAAAATCTGAAAGAAGCATGCTTACATTCGGAGTACCTGGCAAATATTAAACTTCAGAACATATCGTTCATGCTACAGAGCGCTGACAGTCACTTGTTTCACTTCAATCTCAAGCCTGGCGCCCGTTTCAAAGAGTTTCAGTACACGTTTTGCTCGGAGAAGGTCGCCAATCTCTATACTGAGTACCTGTGTAGAGCCAACGTGAACGAGATCCGCAGCTTTCTCGAGGCATTTCAGCCGTTCAGGGAGTACTCAGTGCTGAGAGGCTTCGTTTTCGAGCAATATGTCATCAGGTGATGCCGATGGTAAGATGCCCGCGCTTTTTCACCATTTGAATGCTTTATCTGCATGTTATAGGTTGACACTGCTTACTGCCAGCGTTGTTCCCAAACCAAGGATCGGGGCGTGGATGTCGACAACGATGAAACTCTACTGGTTTTCTTTTTTACTTCTGGATTCATATTGCGGCTTCAAGTTCCAGAAGTACCGATCATCTCGAAAGGTTTCTCAGAAAGCTGTCAGAGGTGAGTGCTTTCATATGAACAAGAAGTATGTGAAGTTACAGTTTCTTTCTTTACCAGGGATTGTGCGGACGTGCCGGTATCTGGGAGTCCTTATGTAGAAGAGATGAGCGACGGGATGGATGTGGTTTCTATAGATGCGGACTTGCTGGGGACTTGGGAGGAGGCTCTCGGCTGCAAAGAGTCCGAGGAAACTTTTGAAGATCCACTGGAGAAGTCACTTGTCCAAGTCACTTGTCCAATATTTGAAGCGGAAGTTGGCGTGTGATAGAGACGAGCTGGACGACTTGGAAAAGATACGTGACATTGCAGATGGTAGGCTGAAGCGCAAACGTCTTGAATCATTGTGCAAGATGTACAAGATCAGAGCTAATACCACCAACGACGAGATGCTGTTTGATCTGGCTGATCTCCGAAGTAAATGTAGAAAAACTGCTTAGGCAAAGCTCTCTAAGAACTATGGCTGCCTATGCTTAAGTGTGGCTGTCCATTGATAAACTAGTCCAGCGTTCTTTGTGGCAATCTCGTGGATCCAATTTGGATTGTCTCACAACACACCATCTGGAGAGAACGAAGAACACTTTAGAAACCAAGAAAGAATGGCTGGGTCAAGAACAATGGCTAAGTGGAATGTTTTGTATCGACTGGCCGAATTCAGATTTGTTGATGATATACCTCCGACCCATATAGTTTACTGAAGAACTACAACACCGTTCATGATTCGGATTTTTCATATTGTACATATCGCAGATTGTCCAGACAAAACAGTGTTCGGGTGTCGTTTAGCAGACTCTTTCTGAAACTGGAAGCCTGTAGTGCAAGGTGACCGAGCATAAAGCTCGAACTTCGTCACCAGGTTGGAGCCACTCCTGTAGATGAAAGAAAACCGAAACGAAAGAAATAAAAAGGAAAGAAAGACAAAGCTCGTACCGAAATAGCATGCGTCTGGCATTGCAAGCTCTTCGCAAAGTGTTTGTTCTTCACGTGCTGCCACTAAATCAAGAGTGTTTAGTAAAAAAAAACCGAGGAATCCAAGACGATGCGTAAAGAATGATAAAAAAATATATAGCAATGCGTACCTGATCGGCATTGGTGGTGAGCTTTGAAATTGATTGTCATTGTGTCTTTTGAAGTGCGGAATCAGCAGGAGGTAGATTGGATGAAGAATACTCAGCTAGCAATTATACATGGTTCCATGACAGCATGCATCAATCATCGAAGACAACTTCACGGCGGGAAATTACTCCATAGAACTAACTGTTGTCGTCTATGGATCGCTGTGGAGATTCGACCAGCAGGGACTTCCAGCTGACTTGATCGCCAGGTAAGGGGATTTCTAGCTTGAAGCTATCCAAACAAAAAGCAAACAATGATTTTTCCCAGCCAAATCCGAAACCCAGACACGGCCTAGACCTCCTCATTGAAGGCTATCCTTACGCAGTTCTGGAGTGCATTGAAGCAATGGGTGACAGACTACACAGACATTTTCTACAAGGACGATGCTTCAGTTAGGGATGACACTGTGGTGGCAAGAAATCGTGAATGTTGGTCAAGCAGACAAGAAAGTTGGACGGACAGACATGAACACAAAAGAAAACTTGACCGACGCACTAACCATCATGATTTGGATCTCATTGTGCCACCCATACGCTGGATTTCCAGTGAATAGCGCTCACAAGCTTAAACATTTGTGAAGAAACGGGGAGAAATTCTACCTCTTATCCTCCAAAGCCGAAGCGACGTTGGTGATGACAACCATCGAGATCCTCTTCATGCATTCCTCTGACGATTGAGAACTGCCGCCTTGTCAATCTGCCTTACACGATGAACCCTAAAATCCCAAATAGATTTAGCTGTTAAATTTAATTTTTCCCGCTTTATAATTATTAGAGTTCTTCATACTTTATTTATAATAGACACAATCTCCAAACGGTCTCTCTCCTCTCTCTCGCGATCGATTCATCTAGTACGCCAAGAACTCGCAGATGAAGGGCTGATCCGCGTGCTCGTCGTTGCAATACAGCCCTGGATGCTGCTTGAATCCCTGCTTGGCCAGCAATTCGCGCACCGCGAGCACCAGATCCTTGTTCCCAATGCCTCGTCCATCGCTCTCGCGCAGCACGCTCTGGACGGCATTGCTGAGAGCACCGTAAGCACCCTCCTTGTTCCCCCCGGGCTTCGCATCCGCTGAGGTCTCATCCGATTGACAGCCGCTCACAAGCACCGCCATGTCCGATCTGCGACCCTGGTTCCCACTTCCAGCGTAGGCATCGTGTGGATTCGCGTGCGTTTTCACCGCCGGCGATGCGTACTCCTCCCCCGATTCCTCGAGCTTTGTCTTGAGGAAATCCTGCGCGAGACCACCGATTGCTCCCCAGATCCCCCCCTGGCCTCCATCGTTCCCGCCGCTGCTCTGGAGCCTCTGGAAGAGGAGATTGACGAACTTCTTCACCTTGGGGCTGGCGTCCTCGCCGAAAACGTCGAAGAGCGTGGGTCGGATGTTGCCCACGCTCACGTCTTGCCTGCCGGTCTTCTCCTTGAGGAGATCGATGAACACCGACAGCGGCAGTGACTTGTTCTTGACGACGTCACCATTCTCAGTTTCTTCCTCGAGAACTTGCTCTTCTTCTTGGTCCTCTTGGCGACGGTGGCGGCTGCCCAGCTTGAATGGGAGCTTGATGCCGGATCGGCTCTCAAACGCGCTCTGGACGCCCTGGAAAACGAGATCTCGGAATCCACCACCACGGCCACCTTGTTCTTCCTCTTCTCCGGAGTATGATCGCGATCCCGTGGAGCTATCGCCGACTTGCTCCTTGGCATTCTCGATCAATCCACCGCTGTGGCACGAATCCGAGACGAGCGTGATCCGGCATCCCTCCGGGAGCTTGTCAACCAAGTCGCGGAAATCATCATCTAGAACAAGAAAAATCAAGTTTTTATCAAGATGATAACGATCGATCGATCTTACCAGTGATCAAGTTCATGTCGCAAGGAACAATGCATTCGTCGTAGCCCGTATCATCCGGCTCGCCCGACTCGGCAGGAACTCGGACACCATGGCCACTGTAGTGGAAAAAGAGGATACCGCCATCCTCGGTCCCCTCGATGAGATTGGCAAGAGCTTTCCGGATGTTGGCGCCGGTGGGCTGAGTGCCCTCGGAATCGGTGTCGATGAGCACCACGATTTCATCCTCGGCGAAGCCAAACTTCTCCACCAGGCTGCGATACATCCGCTTCACATCGTTGACACAGCCGTGGAGCTCGGCCTTGGTACCGGGGTAATTGCAACCCACCAGTAGCGCCCTCTTGCCCATGGATCGATCGATCCGCGAAGATCACTGCAAAGAGGAGGAACCCAGATGCGCAAAAGAGGATTTTTGTCTTAGGAAAAAGAGGATTTTTTCGCTGAGATCTAAGAATGCAGTATCGATTGTGTGGGGAGATCGAGATAGCACTTACCAGCGATGGGATCAATCGATCGAAGAAGGCCACTCCTTTTCTTTCCAGGACTGAGAAAGAAGATAAATACTCTCACATAGTGGCTATGGGCTATGGATTAACTAAATCCGAGTCTCGCTACTTTCTTTTCTAGCTAAAATCCGGAAGAGCGTGTTGTCGGTGACAGTTCCGTAGAGAGAATCTTTTCTCCGTACGAGAGCATTTTGGGGGAATATTCGTGCTTCTTCTACCTGGAGTGAAGAAAAAAATTTCTCTAATGGAAGCTCCCCCTTTTTCTAGTTAGGGTTTTAGCGGAAGGAAAAAAGGCTCCTTCCTTTGAGTGTCGCCAACGTTGACGTGACTTAATGTAGCCTCCAGATAGATATTTTAGGGCTCCTCTCCTTTGTGGCGCAATGGCGCATCGTCTAGCAGCGCGATCTTCCTCCAGAGCCGCGATTCGGCGGCTGTGCGTGCGATTCTTCCACTCCAGCACCACAAGCAGCGGCGATCGATCGGCGCCGCGCCAGGTACTGAAATATCTCGAGGAATCGCAACGGCGGCAGCCTTTTGGGGTCCGATCGCTGCCATTCCATGGCAGCCCGCGGTGGATGCAGACGGCCGCGGCGTCGGCGCCCCGGTCCGTGCCCCTCTCGCGCCTCACGGATAATTTCCTCGATGGCACAAGCAGCGTCTACCTCGAAGAGCTCCAGAGGGCGTGGGAGGCAGATCCCAAGAGCGTGGATGAATCGTGGGACAACTTCTTTCAGAACTTCACAGGGAAAGCGGCCTCCAGCCCGGGGGTGTCCGGCCAGACGATCCAGGAGAGTATGCGCTTGCTGCTGCTGGTGAGAGCGTACCAGGTCAATGGTCACATGAAAGCCAAGCTCGATCCACTGGGACTGGACGAGCGGGTTCCTCCTGAAGATCTCAACCCTGCGCTCTATGGATTCACAGAGGCCGATCTGGATCGGGAGTTTTTCATCGGGGTGTGGAGGATGTCCGGGTTTCTGTCGGAGAATCGCCCAGTCCAGACTCTCCGCGCGATCTTAAAGCGACTCGAGCAAGCCTACTGTGGGACGATTGGGTATGAGTATATGCACATCTCGGATCGAGAGAAGTGTAACTGGTTGCGGGAGAAGATCGAGCAGCACGTTCCTAGCAAGTATTCTAAGGAAAGGCAGATCACCATCCTCGATCGTCTCATCTGGGGGACAAAGTTTGAGAACTTCCTGGCACAGAAGTGGACGGCCAAGAGGTTTGGACTGGAAGGTTGCGAGACACTTATCCCTGGTATGAAGGAGCAAATCGATCGAGCAGCGGACCTGGGAGTCGAGAGCGTTGTCATCGGTATGCCTCACCGTGGCAGGCTCAACGTACTGGGAAACGTTGTGAGGAAGCCTCTGCGGCAAATCTTTAGCGAGTTTGCTGGGGGGACCAAGCCTGCCGAGAGTGGCTACAGTGGAAGTGGTGATGTCAAGTACCATCTAGGAACGTCCTACGATAGACCGACC